GCAGCCATAAGAAACCTTGAGATGAAGATATTTTAGGATCAAACCAGCAACCTGTTCATTTTGTGTTTGGTTCTTTTATAATAGCATGTAGAAAAGCTGGTTAAAAATGTTCCTTCTGCTTCTGCCAACACTCACTGCTAGATACAGTCACATTCTATCACCACTCATTCATTGTTAATGAATGTGTATCTAACCAACAAAATGACTGCTTCTTGGTAAAAGGAAATTATGAATAAGAAAAGGCTATATTTAATCTTAACTCCTCCAAGGGAATTATGTGGTTTCAGTGGCTCTCTGTGGCTCACAACTATGCAGTTGTTTAATGTAACAGTCAGTATCTGCTAAAAAAAAATAATAATAAGCAATGAAAATTACTATTGTTGAATTTGTTCTACCCTCTATAAAAGGCATCAGTTAATTCCCATGTACTCAGCTGTGGGTAAATGTTGAGGTTGAGGATCCATGGCCACCTAAAAGAGCTTCCCCACATCCCGTGCCTAAAGGAAACAACAGTATAAGATATGTTCAGTCAGTACATATTTTGGGTTATTTGTGTAAGGCTACCTTCACATATCTCCTTGGTTGCTGTTCCATATTTTGATTTTTGTATTTCTTAAACAAAATAGTTAATGCCCCTTCTAGTGACCATTAACCACTTCTAAGCTGATATATATATATATATATATATATATATATACACAGTTGTGCTCAAAAGTTTACATACCCTGGCAGAAATTGTGAAATTTTTGCATTGATATTGAAAATATGACTGATCATGCCAAACAATGCTCTTTTATTGAAGGATGATGATCATATGAAGCCATTTATTATCAAATAGTTGTTTGGCTCCTTTTTAAATCATAATGATAACAGAAATCCTCCAAATGGCCCGGATCAAAAGTTTACATCCCCTGGAATGTTTGGCCTTGGTACAGACACACAAGGTGACACACACGGGTTAAAATGCCAATTAGAGGTTAATGTCCAGGGGCGGACTGACCATTTGGAAACTCGGGCACTGCCTGAGGGCCCGGGGTCAGTACCTGGTACCTTTTTCATGGGCTTTTTTGAGTTTGGGCAAGGACACAGGGGCCCCATGATCCCCTATTGCCCGGGGGCCCCATGAGTTGTCAGTCCGCCCCTGTTAATGTCCCACATCTGTTGCTTTTTAAATTGCAATTAGTGTCAGTGTATAAATAGTCAATGAGTTTGTTAGCTCTTACGTGGAAGCACAGACTAGGCTAGATTCTGAGCCATGGGGATCAGAAAAAAAATGTCAAAAGTCCTGCGTAACAAGGTAATGGAACTTTATAAAGATGGAAAAGGACATAAAAAGATATCCAAAGCCTTGAATTTGCCAATCAGTACTGTTAAATCACCTATAAAGAAGTGGAAAGTTCAGGGATCTCTTGATACCAAGCCAAGGTCAGGTAGACCAAGAAAGATTGCAGCCATAACTGACAGAAGAATTGTCTGGGATTCAAAGAAAAAAAAACAGGCAACCTCAAAAGAAAAACAGGCTGCTCTGGAAAAAGATGGTGTGGTTGTTTTTAAGGAGTAAAATACGGTGATACTTGAACAAAAATGATCTGTTTGGTCGAGGTGCCAGAAAGAAGCTTTTACTGCACCAATGCCACAAAAAAGCCCGGTTACAATATGCCTGACAACACCTTGACATGCTTTTTTCATCTGCTGGCCAGTTAAGCAGTTCATCTTAGCTGGTTAGCATATGCCCATGTGAGCTGTTTTCACAAGCTTCTTCAATTTTCTCAACAATAGGCGTTTGTCTCTATAAGATGCTCTCTGCATCTGAGCACTAAGTTGTAAGAGGGAAAGGCTCAACTGCTATCGGCAGTCGTAAATGTGCTGCCTTTTGCAGATGAGCGTGGGTGCCATTAATTCTTAATGGCACCCCCACGCATCTAGCGAATGCATGAACGTTTGTGCCTGCTAAAATACTGTATATGGTACTGTAGTACCATGTTTTTGGTGCTCCGCAATTTTAAAAATCATACCGGCACCACTTTGCGCGTTTCACAGACATAGAGCTGCTCATTAAAAAAATGCACTGTGTGGGAATGCACAAAAAAGTACGTGCACTTGTATGCACCTCCTGGTGTGAGCGAGTTCTCAGACCGGTGTGCCCCGGGATTGTGCATGTTCATAAAGGGTGCCGTGACTGAAAAAAGGTTGAAAAACAGCTTTATAAAGTGAACCATAATTTTTGCTGTGAAAAAAAAAATCTCTGGATCAATAACATACTGTATGGTGCAATTACTGAAACGTTTCTTGCCAATTCTTAGCTAACTGACAATTCGCAGTCACTTCCTACAGCCTAAGAGTTTATTGATAGTAGAATTTAGCATATAATGAATGTATTATGCATTGAAGAAGGATCCATAAATACCCAGATAATCCATTTGGAGGTGGACGTCCCCTTTAAGTGCCTCCTTTGCCAACTTGTATTGGGACACACTTTATTCTTCAGGAAACACATGTCCTAATCAAAACAAAATCAGCACTTCTTGCCAACAGCCAGGATGACAATGGAGTCCGATTTGGTCATACGCTTGGAATCCGACCAGCATGTTTCCGTAGGCTGTTTAAACGTCCCCACAGCTTCCTTACACACATGTTTGGCATAAATTCTATCAGCTTCTCCATCTCGTTCCCTGGGCAGCGCCTGTCAATAAAGTGTCAGCTCCACAGATGTCCAAGTATGGGACCTTCCCCATTCATTAATGGTTCGGGGCCTTGAAACTAGGCCTAGGGGTGACTCGAGATAGAAGGAAAACATGCAAGCCAGAGATCATGAATAAAATATTATTAGGAAATGTCATGTTGCGATTCATTGCTCAGAGGGAAGCTACATTCTCCTCCATTTTTCTTCGCTTGCCAAAATCAACAAGGTTCGCTCAGCACTCCTGATTTTTTCCTGAGGACGTTGTCCTCATTTGAATTGCATTGATCTTGGTGGAGGCGATGGAAATCCGCTCACCTTATATGAAAAATGCACAGCCAAGGTCAAAGGAATAACAATAATGACCTAGCTATTGACCTACATACCCAATAGTCGTGGGAACCATCCAGCAGACTGGGAAGCGAGGTAGACTGCATATCCAAACTAGGCTGGTTATTTTATTTAGGGATTTAAAGTAAAACTCCCAGTAGATAGATGAATAGACAGCTGAAATACATAAACGGGGATGTTTTACCTGTCACAAGAGTTGTATTTCTGTCCAGGAAACACTAAGATTTATACAACTCTAGGTTGGTGACCTTACTTTACAGCAATCACTCAATACATCTTAGTCATCCCTGCCACCCACCATTTCCATTTGACTGGATGCTAAAAGAGCCGCAGCAGACTTATGAGGCCATTTCTGTGAACTCCACTCCTATCAGCATGCTCCTTCCAGCAGCACATGCCTGATTCGCTAAATACTACCCCTCCCTGCTGCTGTAAAGGGATTACAAAAGGCTGATCGAGCCAGATTCAGGTGCTTACATCACCTGCATTTACCAACAGATGTAATGATGTTAACAACCCGGTCACATGCGTGCGACTTGGCATGCGTTTTGCATGACATGCAACTTGCAAATCGTATGCCAAGTCGCACCCTATTGTCTGCAATTAGAGCGGTCAAATCGGTGTGGTTCCGACTTGGTCGGAGCCGCAATGATTTCTAAAGTTGTACATGTACTACTTTTGGTGCGATTTGCAGTGACATCTGTGTCAGATGCCTTGCAAATCGCACCTGAAATCGGCACCTCATCTGACTTTTTTGCTAAACAAACTAAAAAAGACCACAAATTTGTGAAAAAAAAAGTTTTTCTTAGTTTCTGTTATAAAGTTTTGTAAATAAGTAATTTTTCTCCTTCACTGATGGGCACTGATAGGCTGCACTGATGAGGATTCACTGATGGGCACTGATAGGCTGCACTGATGGGCATGTTAGGCGGCACTGATGGACAGCATTGATGGGCACTGATGGGCATTGATAGGCAGCACTGTTAGGCGGAACTGATGGGCACTATCAATGTCCACAGTGCTGCCTATTAGTGCCACCTAACAGTGCCCATCAGTGGCACCTTTTAGGCAGCACTGATGGGCACTGATAGGCGGCACTGATTGCAAGCAGTGATGGGCACTGATTGCCAGCACAGATGTGCACTGATGGGCACAATTGGCTGCAGTGATGGGGCTACACTGATCACCAGGACACTGATGATCAGTGCCCTGATGATCAGTGTAGATGTTCTGTTGCAAAATGCCTCTTACTGGCTCTCCTCTCCTCTGATAACCGACATTTCCTATTTATCCGGTGATCAGCTGTGATTGGACACAGCTGGTAACATGGTAAAAGTGGCTGTGATTGGCCCGTTCCTTAGTCATGTGATCAGCTACATCCAAAGGACACAGCGATCACAGATCATGCGCAGTGCGCGCCCCAGGGGGCATGGTTCTGGGAGGACGTCCATGAATACCCTTCCAGAACTAGCCAACCACGCTGTAGCCGTCTTTTGGCTATAGCGAGGTCAGGAACTGATTAAAGCTCATCTTTGGGAGAATATAAATCTTCTCTTGCAGTGGAAAAGCCCCCTGCACTGCAAGGGTTAAATGATTGTTCAGGTCTAGGGAATAGGAAAAGCAGCTGCTTATCTGATTTTTGTGTTCCCCCAACAGATGGCACTCCCTCATGCTCCAGCAGTGGACTGTTCCTTGGTGTCATCAGGTCCAATGCAGGGCGATGGAACCAGCATTTGCCTTGATGATGTCAGAAAGCAGGGGCATAGGGGGGGAGAAGAGGCTGTGAGGACCAGTAAATAAAAGTGCTTTTTTTATTCCTCTAGACCTAAACAAGCATTTAACCTTATCGGTGTGGGACCCGCCCCAATGCAAGGGAGGATTTTAAAGTTCAGCTTTAAAGAAGAACTATACTCCTCACCTCTACTCCAGTAATGTGGTCCCTTGCTGGCCACTGACATGTTTCTTCCAGTCTTCTTCTGGGTTCCAATCTTCAGGCACCTTGGCTGGATGACATTAATCCAGCTCAGATTCCAAAAATGTACACTAAGCCTCTTCCCAAATTTGAATGTAGTGAGTAAAGTTCCACTCAGGGGCGGACTGACCATTTGGAAACTCGCGCACTGCCCGAGGGCCCAGGGTCAGTAGGGAGCCCCATGAGATGCCCCTGGTACCTTTTTCATAGGCTTTTTTGAGTTTGGGCAAGGACACAGGGGCCCCATGATCCCCTATTGCCTGGGGGCCCCATGAGTTGTCAGTCTGCCCCTGGTTCCACTTTAAGCAGAGAGTCAGACCTTTTTTAGGAACTGCTGCATTCCAGCATGTTCATACAACACAACAAAGAAGGGAAAATTTGCGTGGATTTTTTGCCTTTCTGATGAGAACAGTCATTTGTCAATGTAGGGCATAATTTTGGATAATCAACATATACAATATGAAATAGTTTCATCAAATCAATCATTATATTGAAAATTGGCATTCTTACATGTGTGGCTATTAAAAGTTTATTCAGGACCTAACCAATCACTAAATATTTGACATCCCTTTAACTGTCTTCTTTGCTGGGGACCATTCAAGCTTTCCATACATGCAGTTGCTCCTTCATCCTTGGTGTGTTATTGATGATAATAAAATTCTGCTCCCATGATGCACTAGGAACCAATAACAACAAATACTTTTAGATATTATAGAAAAACACTCAACACCTGAGTTAAAAAAAAAAAACCTCTACATTGGTGTTCAGCATCCAATATACAGTATTTACCAGTTCAAGCATTGCCTTCTCTCAAAGCTCATTGCTACTTCACCTGAACGCATTGATGCTCTGTTCACACCACAATGTTAATGTTTTGTCTGTGCAGACAAAAATATGGACATGACACCACTATTGTGGTGTGAACAGGACTCATAGAAACCAGTTGTTTTCTTTCTGCCATTACAGAAACAGGTGCAAAAAAACACGTCTCTACACACGGTGTAAATAAGGCCTTAGACTGACTTAGACAGACCCCTGAGGACGAAACGCATTGGGCGGAGCTTTTGCATGCTGACATCACACCGCAGCATAGAGCTCATGTGGTGGCCATATTTGTAAGTGACAGATTTTACTTGGTTTGCTCTGGACTGGTATTAATGATAGCTTTATGTTGGATTATATTTGTAGATAATTTAAGAATAAAATACTACACTCTGATGAGTTTGCTTGTTCCAGCTTGTGAGCATTTCCTTTGTGCAGCCATGATACCTGGTTACTACCCTTGATGGTGGAGTCACATACAGTGGTGTCCTACCTGGAGTGTTTTATAAACAATTTTTGCTGCTGCACATAATACTGTCTGGTGAGTGCGGGAGTTTTGGTGATGGTTTTGGGCTGTGTATGATCTGGAAGTCACTGAATGATTTATTAAGTTTTTTGCACAATTTATTTCTTGAATTGGTGGAACTTTTTAATTATTTGTATTAGTAATGTATTGATGGACTTCTATTGATTTAGTGATCTATGAATTTTTACTTATTTTTATTGCGTTTGGGTTTATTTGAAGCTCTATGAATTTGTCACTGTATGTACTTTTTATTTATTCACTTTTTGTACATTTTATGTATAATTCCTTTCAGGCAATGTACTTTACACATACAGAAATAATTGACATAGGTCTGCAGTCCTGTCTGCAAGTACTGTGAAAAGCCTGCTAAACGTGTCTGCAGTGGGTTCCATAAAAAGGTAGCACCCTGTAGTTAGGGTTTTGTGTGATGATAGTTTGAGGCTTGTTACAAGCCTGGAATGAGTGAGCCTGGGAGTGAGGCAGTGATGTTACCTCAGTTCAGGCTGAGAGGCTCTACAAGTCAGGGCTTCTGAAGCCCTCCCACCGTTCTAGAAACTAGAGGACCTTTCTAGCAGAGGGGAAGAGGAGGGGAGGAGGCCTAGATTTGCATGTTTAAGGGAACTTGGCCAATCCCCAGGCAGGAGGCCAGGCATGGTGGCTAAAAGCAACCCTTAGGTGTGAGAGAGCCTGTGCAGGGGTAGTGTTTGTGTTTGGTTGGAAGATGGACTGAAGGAAGGTGTTGGAGCATGGAGCCTGGGAAGGGGCCCCAGGGAGGGAGGCTACCTACAAGTTGAAGCAGACAGGAGGACCTCCACTGCCCTACAGTCTCTTTGGGAGGGCAGCCTGTCAGCAGTGAAGGAGCCAGCCCAGTGGCAGACCTGAAAGCAGCTGCAACCCACTAAGCTTAAGGACAGTGTAAGTACTCCTATACCCCCTTGGCCACAGAAGGGAGAGGGCAGTCAAGTACAATACCCAACTAGTCCTGATCTGGGATTGCTTTACAGTGGATTCTGGAAACCCTTGCCAGAGATATCCTCATGACAGCCTGGTGGATGAGGAAAGTTTCATCTGGGGTCTGATGAGGTACACAAAAAGGGCCTCAGTGCTCTTTAAAGAGACTGTTGCTGAATTTTGATCCACATTTTGTACAGTGTTTGCTAAGAAGTTGTTCTCAAGTTTTACAGTTCCTTAGGCATCCCATATACCCCTAGACCCCAACCAAGGTTGTTAGCCCCTAATAAACAACAGAAACAAGTTCAAGGACTGTTTTACTTACTTTGGATGACCGTGTGCAAAATATGTGTTGCCTGGCTGTGCTTAGGGGGACCCAAAAATCCAGTGGCCCTCAAGAGAGTAGCACTACAATAGTTTAGTGATAAACTGAATAGATTATGGTAGGAATTTGATCAGTGATTTTAAAATGTATGTATAGTCATTTTTGTAAATGTAGCACTCTCCTAGTATAGTGTAGGTTGCTAGGTAAATTTAGTTGGCTCCTCTATAGCTAGATGAGCAGAGGTTGATTATTTAGGGCTGCTCGGTGTCTCACATGCTGCTGCTCTGTTACTTCCCCCTGTCTTCTAGAGGATTCTAGAATCATAGCGGGAGGGAGAACAGAACATGCAGCCAGAATATTTATTGAACTCTAGCCAAGCTGTGCCAATAGGTACTTGGAGAGCCTTAGCCCAGACTCTGAGGCCTGGGGCAGCAGGTGCAGAGTTCCTGGGACCAGTCCTGCAGGAAGATACCCTTGGGCAGGGAGCTTTGCCCTGGGACAAAAATCTGGAAGGAGCCATAATGAAGACACAGAAGTCTCAGCTAGGCTTAGCTAGGGGGCCTACTGGCAAGTTGGGTCTGGAGAAGCTCACTAAAAAAAGCCAGGAAGAAGTTGGTAGGAAAGAGTCCAGTAGTTCTATGGTCATGTGAGTCTACATCTCCCTCACTAGGAAGAGCCTGGTGAATACTGGCAGGAGGCAACTGATGATCATGTTGCTATGTGAATATGAGACTGCAGTGCTAAAGAGTTGGTGACTGTGAGGGGGATTTTCTAAAACTGGAGAGTACATAATTGACCAAGAGCACCCCTGCCCTCCACCCAAGCCTTCCACTACCACTGCCCCACATACACCAGCCACCATCCCCCATGGTGAGAGAGAGAAAGACACTCACCTTCACAGCTTTGGACATCCCCAGGAATGAGAGTCGTGCTGTGCATACACCGTCATGAAACCCACAGCATCTCTCGAAACCAACCAGGTCCCCATTCAACGTGTGTGCCTTCTTCCATCCCTTATTCCAAGGGGCAGTGCTGACCCCCTGAAAAATTCCACCCTATGTAAATGCCTTGTTTGCCTTGTGGTAAATACACCCCTGTTGGCACCGCTCTGCATAGAAACCAATCAGCTTTCATGTTTTTTTGTCAAAGCTTAATTGAACAAGGTGAAGTTACAAGCTGATTGGCTACCATGTACAGGTGCACCAGATTCCGAGTGTTCCAATTTTAGTAAATCTCCTCCTGTGTGTAGCTTTCAATCTCTAGAAGGAGTACTAGTCACCATCCGCACAGGGAGCATTCCTCTTTGTACAAGTGCAGCCAGAAATTTAAAGAGTCCCAAAGTAAGTCAATACTACAGTTTATTAGGGTATCCCATGCTCCCTCACCCTATCCAAGTTCAACATTCCCAATAAAAATTCAACCCCCCCCCCCCCCAGACTGCTCTTTGGAGCCAGTGGGAGAGCGAGGGAAAAACTGTGAGCCTGGCTATTTGTGCTCTAAGGGGGAAATAGGACTAAATCCACCAGCAGCTCTTTAAGGGGTATGCTACATTAGTTTTGGATAGAGTAGGGTAGGAGTAGAATTCCTAACAGGCCTTCGTTCCTCTATATTTGTAGAGACTTCCTCTCATTTCCTCTTGTATTTCACTAAGGGAAAAAAAAAAAAAATCCCTAATTTATTCAGAACTAAATTTAAAAAAAAGATCAGCTATATGTATACTTTTACTGTTTCCTGGAGGCATTCTTTATAACATACAGTCACATTTTCTTAAGATGCTTATCAATCTGTTTTTTTTCCAATACAGATTCCATTATTTAATACCCAGCAACTTACTCAGAATTCTGTTTATTTTTGGGACAAAACATTTCTGTAATGCGTCTGTACCCACCCTCAGCTTCCAGAGAAAAAACCCTCAGCCGGATAATTGGAAGCACATGGCTCCATACTGTTCACGCTGGGAAGAAAATGCTTTGACAAGTGTGAGGTGATGTCATGAAATAGTTCAGGTTTGCTGCAGGGAGATGTACTGGAGAGCTGGAAACCTCAGTGGCCCTTAGCTGCCAGTAAGGCGTGAGGAGTTATGGCCCATTGACAGTTTTATGGGTTTAGGATAGGAGATGTGAAGGCCTAAATAGGGTGTAGGTACTGAGTATCAGGCTGCTTACAGTGATAGAACTCGGAAATGGTCTCAAGGCATCTGTGAAGATGAGGACTTAGTGCCACCAGACTGCTCCATATTCCTCTTTTAACCTATAAATTCCATGGTCCCATTGCTACAATTTTTGAAAATCATCACAATAAAATTGATAATTTGCAAAGTAACCTTTCTTCTATATTTTGGCGCAGACCAAGCCACCTTTTGTCTTGTTATATATAAAATCATAAAAATTCATGTGACCCCCAGTGGTAATGGATGGCTCATCCTAAGGGACCTGGGCGGGTGTTTCCACTAACAACTAGTCTGTAGTCAAAAGAAAAGTGAAAAAAGTGCTTCCAGACACCACACAGAGCAACAAGCCAATCTGATTTATTTAGATCACAAAATCTTCAAAAGTTAACAACATACCCTTCCACAGCCAAATTAAAAAAAACGAACAATGGTGTTCCCCACTTAGGAGTGTTCCCTTTAGACTGACCACTATTTGAAGGGT